TGACACAGACTTCAAAGTAAGTTTTATATTCACGAGTTTAGGCTAAATTAATAAAATTGCGACTTTAAAGGAACTTTTAATTTGTGAAATTGGACATTTATCTATATGTTTTGTATTTAGGGGGCTGCGGTCTTGTAATCCTGAGGTTGCGGGTGCGAGCCCAGGTAGAGCATCTGGTATAAAACAAATTGGCAAAATTTTCATGCAAGTTCGCCAAAAGAAACTTACTACCGGTATCTATATGTTTTATATTTGACAGCTGTGACAAAGACATCTTCACTGTTATAAAAATCATGTCCGTTCCTTTAGTCAAGCACAACAAACTAAGGTTGTTTTCTTAAGTGTCACAAGTGAAGAAAGAACCAGAGAACTGAGCAGTGAATCAGTTTTATGCCTCTATACCAGGGCTATTCTACTAGGGGGGGCACAGTTACAGAAAGCAAAGAGCTCAGGGGTCGGACATTCATCAGTTATTTCATTAATTAAGCTTGTTTTACAGTTTAAAATCTAGTTTTATTTAAAAATGAACCCATCGGTGGACCAAACTGAACTCAGAGGGCCTGATTTGACCCCCGGGCCACCAGTTGAATAGCCCTGCTCTATACGTTTTCATTCCACGTGCTTTAAAATTGGGTCACGATTAATAAAAAATGTTCAAGAATTACAAAAAAACGTTTAAAATTATTAATGTGTGAAAAAAGACATTTAGAGCTGAAAGGTAACATCTAGCTCCACTATGAGAAGGTTCTGTGAAACCATATTTTGACTAATAAACACCAGACACTGAGGAGAAATGATTCCTTACTGAAAGGAGACATAATGGGACTCACACTGAATGTTGCTTTGTCTCTATTGTGACATTACTAAATCGATGTATTTTGGCAACAGATGTGCAATGTTTATAAATTGGTACCATATTTTTCAGACTATAATTATTAAATATTAAAATCCTTTAATTTTCTCAACAATCAATAGTGAGCCTTATAATCCGGTTGCCTTATGTATTAATTCTGGTTGTGCTTACTGACCTCGAACTGATTTTATGTGGTACACAGCGCTCAAAAATATGTCAAAATGAACTTGTTTCACTTAACGCAACTTATAATCCTGTACGCCTTATAGTCTGAAAAATATGGTACATGTAAAAATAAATAAATATGTTTTGTGTCCACCCAAAAATTTCATGTTAGGAGCCTGAAATTATATATTTTTTTAAACAAGATATACTACATAATACATCATTTTGGGTTATTATGTCACAATTAATCTATATAATTTGTTTCTTTTAAAAGTAAATTGCACTAACTGCTTCACAGAAACCTTGGAAAGTGATACAAAAGGATATAAAACTGTGTGCTTTGGCGGAACACTAAATAAGTACTTTTATTTTGGTAGAGATTGTCTGCATGTGAATTTGCTGTATCCTTTAGGATTGGAGGATGAGTCGAGGCCCTGCCGGAGATGAGGAATGGACAGACTCACTGTCATTTGTTTGGACGGATTATGCTGAGCCAAAGAGTTTATCTGTGCTTAAAACTATGCTTCGAACACGACAAAAGATCAGTGATCATGGTGTGAACAAGCTTCCACCAACCGTGAGACAAAAGCCTTAAAGTAAGTATTAAATAAAACAAAAGAAAGTTTGATTAAATTGACACCACGTGCCTGCGGAGCACCTGAACAAAACGGATATAAAAACAATAGACTGTTAAAGAAAAACTTGTGGAAGTCGTAAATGATGGAATCCAGTGCGTCTCACGAGAGTTGGCGCCTTGCATCCTTTTAATACTTTACTTTTCCAGGAATAGCAGATTTTTAGAAAACGTTCAGATAAGCAAGAATTTCTCTGTGAGCTCCTTGTGACTCAGTAAAGTGTCTAAAATGATTTATGATTTTTTTTTATTTATTTATTTTTTTTTTTGTGGGGGTAAGGACTGGGCATGCTCTTGTCTCTCCCTCAAACCAAAGAATAAAACTGAGTTTTAAGTGAAGATTTCAAAGCAGCTACAGTGTTTGCAGATGACATTGTGATCTGTGGTGAGAGCAGGGAGCAGGTGGAAGAGAACTTGGAGAGGTGCAGGTATGCACTTGAAAGAAGAGGAATGAAAGTGAGCCGTAGTAAGACAAAGTACATGTGTGTGAATGAGAGGGAGGAGGTGGAAACAGTGAGGCTACAAGGAGCAGAGGTCACAAAGGTGCAGGACTTCAAGGACTTGGGGTCCACTGTCCAGGAAAATGGGGAGTGTGGTAAAGAAGTGAAGAAGAGAGTCCAGGCAGGATGGAGTGGATGGAGAAAAGTTTCAGGAGTGATTTGCGACAAAAGGGCGTCAGCAAAGGTCAAAGGAAAAGTTGTGGTGAGACCAGCTATGCTGTATGGTCTGGAGACAGAGACATGGACAAAAAGACAGGAGACAGAACTGGAAGTGGCAGAAATGAAGATGTTGAGGTTCTCCTTAGGAGTGACAAGGATGGAGAAGATCAGGAATGAGATCATCAGAGGTACAGCACAGGTCGAACAACTGGGAGATTAAGTTAGAGAGGACACACTGAGATGGTTTGGACATGTCCAGAGGAGGGACAGTGGGTATACTGGTAGAAGGATTTTAGAAATGCAGCTGCCAGGAAAAAGACAAAGAGATGTATGGATGCAGTCAGAGAGGACATGGAGGTAGTGAGGACAGAGGATGCAGAGGACAGAGTGAGATGGAGGAGGATGAGTCGCTGTGGAGACCTCTGAAGAGGGAACAGCTGAAAGAAGAAGAAGAAGATTTAAAAGCAGCTATAGGATGCCTGTCTAATGTGCAAAGTGTCCCTCTACGCCAAAACCCTGTCTCCCCTGAGCCGACACCTGGTCCACTCAGCAGGTATGTAAGAAGGGGTGAGACCAGTTAAAGACGAAAAACAAGTCAAATCATTTTAAAATGGTTTCTAAAATGTAATGTGAACCAGTGGAGGAGTTTTCTTGTGCTGGTTTAAAGTGATGCAACGTTTTGCCCCGTCAGTGAGCGGACAACGGCAGACGCACTGACCCCAACACACAGAACGTTTCTGTGATCCAGCCGAGCTGCGACGAAAGCATGAATCACCGTTTTAAATAACTGCTGGGAGAAAAACTGGGCCAGCCACCTCAAATGAGAGCAACTCATTTTAACAGCTGCCTTTTTCTGGCTGTTGAATTTAAAGTTGAGATTTACCTGGACCCCTCTGTTTGTGACAATTGGGTAGATGTGCTATAGTAGCAATGTTCGCCACAACCTTAATGTTGGATTTGTCTGATGTGACTTCAGAAAATTGTACATTTTGTTCTCCACAAAATCTGCAACGACGACAAAAACCAGACACTGATCATTTTTTCAACCAGTCGTTAAGGTACGCGGATGAATCAGCGATATAACAAAACAAACAGGGAATTGTTTTGGTCGTTAAATTCCATCTATGAATGAAGAAACTTCCTTTGCAGCGTGTAAAATAATAACAAGCGATGCCATAAAACAAAAGCTCTGCTCACACTTGTTGTGTTCAAACAAAAAGCCTCATAAACTGAAATAATTTCACTAAGTCACTATACTATAATTACGCCAAGCAGCATTTAAGCGTTCCGCTTTTCCCGGAACAAAAACATTGGCTAACAAAATCATTCTATTGAGTTAAAGGCCTAGCATTCATGTTGCATTTTCACACCAGAGTTCGAAACTAAGATCATTTTGACCATGACGTATGTGTTGGAGATGACTCTCAGCTACTACCACATCAAATCTTAACTCAATGTCAAAAAAGTGGACTGAATCGTAACCATTTACGTGTCTGCCATCGATTAGCTGTGGAAGCCATCTGGACTCCAAACGTGGTGTACATTCAGTTTATACTTCCTCAAAGTTTAATTAAAATCTATTCAGTGGTTCAAGAGATGTTTTGCTAACAAACAAACACGGTTGATGACAATAATTAATGCCAATATGTTGGGTAACAAAATGCACAATGCATAGTGTTCTTAGTATGTGTTGGGGGATCATGCTCAGCTACTTCCACAACATAGTTTAACTTAATACATGGCAAACTGATGGAGTTATAGCCATGTTTGTGTTGACTAGGGTGAGTTAGCTGTGGTGGCCATCTTAAATTGGGGCGATTCCAAAAAGCTAATCAGTTGTGGCTGCACATCCAATAACTGATTCCTGAAAGTTTCATTAATATGCATTGAGTGGTTCATTAGATATTTTGCTAACAGACAGAGCTGACTGACAGTTAAGGGTAGAGTTTTCAAAACAGATCTTATCCAAATTTTAGCTCAATATTTTTACATCAGGCTGAGTTGTAGCCATTTTTGTGTTTGCTCCGGTCGCCTTGCTGTGGCATCCATCCTGAACGGGGTTGACTCCAAAAGTTAATTAACTTGAGATGTGCATCCAGTGATTTTTTTCTGAGAGTTTCGCCAAGAGGTTCATGAGAAATTTTGCTAACTCTCTAGCACTGCACAAAAACCTATATCTCCCCAAGAAGAATGAGAACTTCTTATTCTTCTTATTCTTAAAGTCTCTGCAAAGGGAGAAACAAACAAACAAAAAAGGCTGGGATGGTTAAAACTTGCACAATAAACTCAATGACCTGCTGATGTTTCTGCTGTTTGTGTTAATAATGACAAAACATTCGGTTCCTGGCCTCATGAAAACTTGTCTGTGTCAGTCTGTCTGCTTTGGGTTAAGGGGGGGGTAATTATATGACAGAACAGTTCAACCCAAACTTCTTTATTGCCTGGAGGAAGAACAATCACTGCTGGCTGTAGTTTCCTGTCCAGGAGCAGCAGCAGCACAAGTCTGAGGCAACTTGTGGTCGTGAGAGGAGAAGCGACACAGAAAGGACAAGCTCAACGTGACGCTCTAAACAAGTTTGGCACGGAACCGCAGCTAAAACGCAGCAGAGTTGCGCGCGCGCTGGCCCCTGCAGAGGCTGAAAACTCCCCAACATCTGGTCCGCCGGAGGAGGAGGAGGACTGGGCGAGCCGAGGAGAGGAGAGGCGGAGAGAAAAGGATCTGTGCCCGAAGAAAATGCTCTGAATCTGGGCTTGGTGTCCCTGCACGCGCCGGGGAGGAAGACAGGGGGTGGGGTGGGGGGGGCGGCTGTGACCCTGAAAAGAGCTGGAGGACTTTGGAGGTCCACCTGAGGAGATACGAGATGATTTAGTGACATAAAGGACAAGCCAGCAGAGAGAGAGAGAAAGGTAAGGCTGTGTTTGCTGCGTCTTTGGAAACTAAATGTGATTTTGACGAGTTAAAGTTCGGTCTGAACGTGCACAGACTCGTTCTGAACCTCTGAGCAGACACGCACAATCCATGGACTCGATTTCATCCATGCACTGGAATACTTCGACGTGTTTATGTGACGTACTTTGGACTTTTTCCCCACCAGAACCAGTTTGTTTGCGCGGCTTGTGTAGCAGAACCAGTTGTTCGTCGGAGATGAAGTGTTCAGCTCCAGAGCTGCAGCCAAACTTCGCTGAGAGTTGTCAAAAAACGTCCAGGGGCAATGAGTGCAGGGCGAGCGGCCGCGGGAGCGCGCAAACAGCTGCCCAGCTGAGCGCAGGAGGCGCGCGCCCTGTCCCAATCAGCACGTGAGGCTGCATTAATCTGAAAAGTTTCTCTGGACGTGCTCACAGTCTGAGGCCTCCCCAAAGCAAGGTTTATAATGGTTGAACTGGTTTTTGCGACTTTTTAGGAAAAAACGGGGGGACTAAAAATTAATTTTATCATAAGATTTCCTCTAAACACAATATTATTGTCTTACAGTTCGAGGCATGTTAAACCAGGAATTCTCAACTGGTGGTTCATGACTCAAAAGTTGGTTGTGGGAAATTTGTCTGAGCAAAATAGATGAATAAATAAAATGTAAAGGAACCAGATCAAAGTGCTGTTTGTTATGTCAGCCTTATGGTTAAGGCTTGAATAAGTGAGTGAATAGTTTTAATAAGATATTGTTTGCTATATTTTTACTGGATGAAAACATTTAGTTGAACTTTTTTTCATATATTTATATGAGCACTGTGGTTTTATTATAAAAAAGGCACAAGTGAAGTGATTTAATTTTACACAATAAATAAAATGTAAACTAGTGAGTGTAATAACCCTAACATCACCACTTACTGATCATTTTAGTTTCTTGGTATTAAAAACTGTGATAACCCACTATCTCAGGTTCATTGTGAAAGTTAAAACAAAAAGAAACTAAAACCAGTAAAAAAAAAAAGTGTAGTGCTCAAAATAAGCTGAATGCTTTGATTCATGAATTGTTAAAAAAAAAAAAGCACAAAGTGTGCAAAAGTAGTTGGAGTCTAATTATTTCAAACAGTCTGAAAGTTGACTGTAATCACACTATTGCAGAAATACACACAGCACATTAGTGTTATTAATGTTTTATTTAATGTTTACTCCTAATTTGTCACATATATTACCACACAGGAGTCTGGCTTTTATGAACATTTATTTGCACCAAATAAATCACATGACACCCGTCGTCTGCTGCGTTTTGCAGTGTCAGTTGTGAAATGTTATTTTCTGCTGATCCCACGTTTCAGTCTTAGTGTGGATTGTCATTTTCTTTAAACTGAATAAATATAATTTTCATTTGCTCAGAATAGGTTTAAAGAGTTTGCAACTAATCCTTACAGTCAGTGTAAAGACTATAAATTAAATGTAAAATACATGAACAAATACAATTAATAGTCTTACTCCTGCTTGTCTGCATCTTATTCAGTGTCTGGAAAATTCTTTCACATTTTACTCATTTTGTTGGAAGGAAAAGTACACTTTAATGATCATAAGGGAGGAAAAAAAAAACAGATAAATATAAATAAATGTGTGAACATTTCTATTTTTAGCAAAATAGTCAATTTATAGTAAGAAAATAAGCATTTCTGAAAGTAATATTGAATACTTTTCAAGTACAAATGTAGACTTAATTAAGTACCTTGATTTATTTTAGGCAATTGGTAAAAGTTTGACAAAAGTACCTCATTAATACACTTCCTGTGTCCGTATGTTTTTCTCTTTGCTGAAAGTGCATTTGGTTCAAAAGCAGTGTTTTTAATTCAGACAGCCCATCTCCTCTTGTTGCTTCAGGCTCATTCACCTCCCCCCAGAGCAGCCAGGCCTACGCCCATGGACGAGGAGAGGAGCGCCATCTCCAAAGAGCCATCTGACCATGAAACCCCTGATCTGCCAGTTCCGAGTTCACAAACGGCCTCAAACACAGAGAGGGAAAACAGTTGCTCAAACCCACCCCCCTGTCCCGGTGAAGGTAAGGAAGAGAATGCAAAATAATAAAAATTAAAAAAAAAGAGAGAAGTTTTGGATTTGTGATAACTTGGAAAACATTTCCATAGGCCTTTTAGAATCGTAGAAGATCATTCCTCTCTGAAATGACATGGAGCATACTTTTGACTTTGTAGCATAATCTTACAGTCAAAGAAACAAACAGATGATGAAATATGATGCTTTGCGCTGGGCAGGACCTGCTTTTATCATCTTGCATTAGTGTGACTCACATTGCTGCTGCCTGTGAAGCTTATTATAGCCTCCCGTTTATCAGGATGCAAGTAAATACATGAGATTCTTTGAGTTATATGCACTTACAAGCAAGGACATAAAAAGTAAACAGTGGTTGTTTTCAACCCTGGCACAGTTTATATGGGTCGCAGTGCTTTGAAATAACTCAATTTGTTTTTAAGAAAATCATTTTAACTCCTTAGGTTAGTCTTCCTTGGACGTTCTGAGGGGTAAGGACCAAGTCAGTGTTAAGGAACAGCCATATGGGACTTCAGGGAGTTTGGGAATGGTCCCATGACCTTTTCTTTTTGTGAAATTTGTCACGGTATGGTTGACTAACACGGGGGGAGCAGGAGGATGTGGACTCGACTCGAGGGCAGTTAGATGCATGGATGACTCATCTGAGATCAGCCAGTTTTGATTTAAGTTCCTTTTAGCTTCACAAACAGCTGTTAACTGTGTATTATAGTGCAGGTCTTATGGGGTAATTAGGGTAGGTGTGGTTAGCTGTAGGGGCAGTACGCAGAGGTTTAAGTGGCTTGTTGCCATGGGAACCCACCACAAAAATGTCTGATAGTTGATTCCTTTATCCTGTTCAATTTTTGTTTCTAGAAAGTAGCCTGTTATCATCAGTCCAGTGAGTTTCTTCTCATAACACGAGCGTCTCCAATTCCAACTGGATCCATAAACACTATCAAAGTTAATAATAATAATTCCCGATGAGTTTAATAGTAAAATGTGCCAATTTACACATGAAACACAAGCGTTAAATCCAGGGGTGATTCTAGAATTTGACCTTTAGGAGTTCTTAGCCCCTCACTGCTGACAATGGCTCTTTGGCTTGAACAACATGGTGGCCACTGGCACCAGAAGCATTTGTAATGTGGATGGACACACTGGTGGGGGGTCTGGGGGTTCTCCCTCAGAAAATTTTGAACAAAGTAGATGCCTTTTCCTGTATTCTGGTGTATTTCAAGGCATTGTCAAACATCTACGTTTACCTACATAAGTAAACACTTGATTCAGTAACTATTTTAGAGAGCAACAATACGTAGTCTGACCAACAGCTCTCCTTGTGTGAATAGAACACGATCCGCTTCTCTCACCCCCCACCCTGTTGACAACTGCCGACACTAATGTAGCGCTAAGCTAGCAAAACTGACAATGTTGTTGTAGGAAAAAGGAGGTGTAGCTCCTGCAGGTAAGGGGCGTTTACCTTCAGGAAAATTTGAGATTACTGATACCATTGATTGACAGGTGGCGTTGAGGATCCGACTTGTGCAAAAACAATCATAGGTTTTACTGGCCCGTTTAAGAGAGTCATCATTTATTTTATATTTGTTCCAAAATTATTCAATATTTTGGTGAATCTAAAGGTTTGAGAACTGAGTTTCCTTACAAAATCCTAATGAAGATATTTTTCAGGGGTGCCGAGTTAAAATTTAGGCGTGCTTGATCACCCCAAAAAGAGGCTAAAATCGCCAGTGGTTAAATCAGCACATGTTTTGTTTTTATTATGTTTAGGATTTGCAAGGGAGTGGTGGCGCAGAGGTTAGAGAAGGTGGGCCTGTAATCAGAAAATTGCCGGTTTAACTCTCCGGTACCGACAACATCAAAATAGTGGGATAGGTGAATCACCCACACTTGTCTCCACCCTCATTTACCCCACTCTGGGCCCTTGAGCAAGGACCTTAACCCCTAGATAGCAGCTCTCTGCTCCACGCAGAGGGCTGTGGCAGCTCGGTGGTCTGTGGTTGCATCAGGAAGAGCATCTGGCGTAAAAATAATTACCAAGTCTTCATGTGGCAAAGTTCGCTGTGGCGACCCCTGAAGAAGGGAGCAGCCGAAAGAAGAATAATGTTTAGGATTTGCATAAGTACGCAGTGATAAGTGCTGTATGCATTTGGTTGTTAAGATCAGTCCTTTTCTTTGAATTTTATTAATTTTGTCATTAATGTTAGAAAATGTCATTTTTATTACATCATTTATTCAAGTGCTTGTTATAATTAACACACTGAGGTTTAGAACAAATACTGTATTTGTAGGGCTTCGTTATCGTATCCCACGAATCAAGCACCATATTGACAACACAGTTTTTTTGTTTTTTTTCAGGTTTATTCATGGTAAATAATTGTTTTGTTTTTCTTACTTACATTGCCTGTTTAGTCTCCACTGAGGTGCAGTCCAAACCGCTTCCATCTTCACTTCATCTCTGTATTTGTTTCAACGCGTCATCATTTAGTCTTACCCTTCTTTTTGTTAGCTCCTGAGGGTTTGTTGAGACTTGTGTTAATTTGGTTTCCAACATATATCAAAATAGGCCAGGAGCAACTAAAAGCATTTTTATAGCTTATCTGAGCGACAAAAACAAGAACGTTATATTCTCCTTTACCACCTCACAAAGATAAAAAAAATGTTGGTTGCTCATGCTTTGACTGTTTGTGTTTTGTTTTTGTTTTTCTTATACAGATGGACATATTTATCATCTTCAAATCTTGTTTTTTTTAACAACAAAGTTTATTTTTTGTGCAATTTTTTTTTTCCTGGAGTGGCTGTTAGAATCCAACAAAGTTGATTTGGTAAAATTATTGTTGTCAAGAGGTGAGGATTGCCTTAATAGAGATAAATTCAGAATCACATCTGTTTGCTGATTTTCAGAGCATTTCTTTGGCTTTAGCGTCATACATATTTACATAAATAGCAACCAAACGTGTTTCTGTATTTCATGTCCAATTTACAGCCACTACTCATCGAACAGACTGCAGTCAAGTCAGCTGTTCCATCTGCATAGTCTAATAATCAGCATCACAATTTGATGCTTAATCATCTTATGATCATTAAAGTCACAGATCTATGCAAAGTCTCCCATCACAGCCTGCAGTGGGGAGTGGAGGTGCAAAATACTGCTGTCCTCTGAAAGTATCCAGCACCTAAAGGTTGCTGGATTGATCACATGTTGTTATTTCTGATTACTCCCTTAAGGTACAAAAAAAGTTTGTAAATCTAGCATGAGTTTGAAATAGTGTAAATGTAATTATCTGAGGAAGTTAACCAGTAAGCAGAAATAACTGCTGCAGTTGCAGAAATCTTACAAAAACTGACAATCACTCATCTACAGTGACTGCTTTAAAAGGTTGAACAAGAAAATCTGAAGTTAAAAGGTAACATCCTTTGTCCCAAGGCCAGGTGAAGTATCATTATTATTTTGGTTATTTTATTTTTCTTTCTTTATGAATCGATTGTAACTATTTTCACATTATTCAACAACCAAAATGGATTTTGTTTTTTAATGTAATGGCTAAGTATTAAAAAAGAAACATTTAGCCCTCCCCACTACCCAGTTATGTTGCTCTTATTTTGAAATGTAACCGGAAGTTCTGTGCTAAGAGAGGCGGAAAGAGAAGGTATGGAGACGCCGCCAATGTCGAACCGATTAACACCATAGATGTAATATGTCTGTGGTTAACACAATCTGCCAATAACGCCTTGTTTTTAGACATAATGTCAGTGGTTAGCACAAACTGCTTCTTTTTTTTTTTTTTTGTCCAATCTGATGTGGCCCTCCAGATACACCCATTTTTGGTCGCCCAATCAAATGTGGCCCTCCAGATACGCCCATTTCACTATCTTCCAATCATATGTGAACCTCCAGATACGCCAATTGTTTTATCATCCAATCAGATGTGGCTCTCCAGATACGCCTTTCGAATTTGTCTGCAGAGATACCTACTTGATTTCTCTGTATGTCCTGATGCATGCTCAATAATCCAGGTTCAAACATCTACCAAAGTTAAATCAGGTCCTCCGGACAGATTCTTCTTGTGGAAACGTTTTTTTCTTTTATCCAAAAGACTTGTCAGTTTGAGGAACTGCAATAAACTCAGTCTTATAAACAGCACCTTCTCACATCGGCCAGCAGGGCACTCACGATCAATTGTTAGGCTGATGGTCCTCCTTTATCATGTGAACAGCTAGTTTTGGCTGTCAACAACAAACTGATAGATCCACTATGAGAAGATGCTATTTATAAGACTGAGTTTATTGCAGCTCCTCAGGCTGAAGAAGTCTTTTGGATAAAAGATGAAACATTTCAACTAGGGGTGCACCGATACATCGGCGGCCCCGATTTTAGTTTTAACAACAATTGTCTAAACTTCATTTATATTCCAGAGTACTACCTCATGGCCAATTAAAACAAGTTTGTATTTTTTCTAGGATATTGTTCAAGGGTATGTTTTTCAACAAAATAAGTTTGGCAAATTGAAGGTGCATTGTGACCTTATAACGCCTGACAGTGTCATTTATAAAACAAAAATTGTATCGGCCAAAATTGGAATCGGCAGGTCAGACTTTTTAAGAAATCGGTGATCGGCCAGAAAACTGCAATCGGTGCACCCCTAGTTTCAACAAGAAGAACCTGTAAACTAAATTTGCTAGACTTTCTCCGTCTGGTTTGAGTAGAAAACGGGCTCAGACTTCAGAGCCGAGCCACTGTTTCTTCACATGAGAAGAAGCTACATGACGTGGATTAGGTGTCTGATCATGATGCCTGCTGGCCACCTAGCTTTTGGTGGTTTTCCAGGCATGTTCAGCAAGGAGGAGATGACAGGTAGACCAAGAACCTTCTGGAGGGATTACATATCTGATCTGGCAAGGGATCAGCTCTGAATCCCTTCGGAGGAACTGGTAAGCACTAAAAGCCGTTTGGAAACAATTCAGTCTAACCCTCCACAACTTGACTTTGTCTCGGTG